ACACACACACACAACAACACACACACACACAACAAACAACATACACACACATACACACACACACACACACACACAAACAAACACATACACACACACACACACACAAACAAACACATACACATACGCACACGTTGGTGCACGTGCACTTGCTGGCCTCAGGAGAAGCCAATGAGCGACCGCGCCCTCGTGTGGTCTGCCCTCATTGCTTCTTCGTTGCAGCTTCCCATCAACAAGTGAGTGCTTCTTCGTGCTGTGTGTGCGTGTATGCGCGTGCGTGTGTTTTGTATATGAGAGTGTTTACAGGAAGGAGCCTATTGTTTCTTGTCCATCACCACTCGGCCAAACGTGACATCACACTCAGTGTATGCACTTAACCTGCTGTGCTGCATGCACAAACGCTGTCAGGCTGCTGCTGCAGGCTTGCGACTCTCAGGTATATCCCCTCCTCGCCCGCTTCCTCCTCGCAGGTAAGATGTGGCATGTGTGTATATGTGTGCGTGTTTGGTGCTCTTTGCGCCCCCTTCCCCTTCCATCGACACAGATCAGTTTCCACGCCAACTTTTCTCTCGCTCAATTCGCCTGCACCTTTGCTTTATCACCACTACCGCTTACACCACCACCACACCACTACCACCACCGCGAATTACAACCACGCCACGTGCAGTTGTACTGGGTGCCATGTTGTGGAGCAAGGTCGAAGCCAGCAAGTAAATCCGCTTCGCTGTCTGCCAACATGGCAATGTTGAACCAGCTTCAATCCGTGATGCATAATCGTTTAAACAGATGCTCTCGCAAGCAGCGCAAACGCTGAAAATGAATGAGAGGAAAGAGGCACAGGCCGCAACACCAAACACAGCAGCCACCATAACCACCACCACCACCACCACCACCACCACCACCACCACCACCACCACCACCACCACCATAACCTTCTCAACTCGGATCAACGCCCACTGAACCAACGCCAACCAAACAGCAAAACAAACGCAAACGCACCCCTACCCCCTTCTCCTTTCAAACAATACATCTCTCGTCTCTCACTTCCCCCCCCCCCTTAACAATTCCCCCATGACACGAGGCGTGTCGCTAAACTAAAGCGTGGATTCGGATGTTGAGTCGCCAACAGAAACTACCGCGGTATCACCTCCACCACCATCACCACCGTCACCATCATCACCATCATCACCATCATCACCATCATCACCATCATTACGTCGCTGGTGGGTTGTTGGCATGTGCAGTTCCGTTGCATCCTCCGTGCCATCGCCGACAGAGGAGGTGCCATTCAGCCCAGTATCGTCGTGTTGCTCGCTGCCACCATGACCACCACTGCGGTTGCGCTCATGGTGCGTTGTCAGCGGTAATGACACTTCGCTCATGCTTGTGAGCCGCTCGTAGCTGCTGCTTGATGACGTGGCTCGGCCCACCGCGCGCCCAACCGTGCTTGCACGCACGCGCCTCGCCACGGAGGACAGCAGGCTCGACGCCCCCTGCGATCGGTGGCGCAGGACGCTCTTGCTCCGGCCAGACCCAGGCGAGCTTGCGGTGGACCTCCGCCGTGACACAGAGCGTCTTGCGTCAGGGATGGAGGCCGCGGCTTCCTCCAGCTGCTCGTACACCCGCGCAAACGACGGGCGCTCTGTCGCCGTCTGCTGCCAGCACGCCTGCATCAGCTTGGCCAGGACCGGGTGCGCCGTGTCCGGGACGGCGGGGCGCACACCCTGCAGCACGAGGTTCTCCACCTCGTTGTTGAAGCGCACGTCGACAAACGGCATGTGGCGCGCCTCAAGCTCGTACACCACCATGCCGTACGAGTACACGTCCGACGCCAGCAGGAACACGTCTCGTGCCAGCACCTCTGGGGCCGCCCAGCGCGGGGTGGACCCCAGCGCCCCAATGTCCGCCTGCCACTCGTCGCCGGCCTTGTGCGTCTCCGATCCCGTGCGCGCGCGCATCGAGTTGCGGTTGGAGCTCGCCTTCTCCTCCAGATGGTCGCACAGGCAGCTGGTGCCAAAGTCTGCAATCTGTACTGTCCAGTCCCACGTGACGAGCAGGTTTGCGCTCTTCAGGTCGCCGTGCACGCGGGGCGGGTGCAGACCGTGAAGAAACGCCATGCCACGCGCGGCATCGAGCAGGAAGCCAAACTTGCGGCCAAGCGGCAGGGCAGCGTCGCTGTTGTTGATGATGGACGACAAGCTGCCCCGCTCGCAAAAGTCCGTGACGAGAAAGGGAACACCAGAGGCGTCGACGCCGGCACCGTAGAAGAAGACAATGTTGGCGTGGCGGATACCGCGGAGGAAGAGCGTCTCCTCTTGAAACTCCCGCAGCGAGCTGTTGTCCTCCCCGTCCTCCACAAGGATGGCCTTGAGCTTCTTCACCGCCACCACCTTGCCGTTGTACTTGGCCTTGTACACATCGCCCATGGCCCCGGGCGTGTCGGAGTCGATGCGCTTGATCAGGTGGATGTCCTGCATGTCAATCTCAAACACCTTCTCCAGCGAGGCGAGCTCCTCGTTCACGCCGTCGAGCAGCGCCTCCAACACCTCGTTCTTGGCAGCCATGCGCCGGTGGCGCCGCGACAGCACAAAGATGAGGTGGCCAATGGCAACCGCAGCCAGCACGGGCAGCAGGATGACCGGAACAACCGGGTACTGGCAGCGCTCGCCAAAGCGCAGGCCCGAGCACACGCACGTGGGCCGCTCAAACTGCACCTGGCACTCGCCGTGGCAGCGGTCCTGCTGGCGCTTGGCGCACAGGGTGCATGTGCTGGAGAGGAGCATGCGGCCCTCGTTGATGGTGTCGTGCGGGCACGCGCGGCACTGCCCGCCCTGGAAGAAGTACTCCCCGCGACAGGGGATGCAGCTGGACGTGGCAAAGCTGTCGCCCTCGTACTGCCAGCCGGGGTTGCACTCCGGCTGCAAGGCGACGATGGAGCCGAGGTAGTTGTTGTTGCTGCCAATGCCGCCAAAGGCGATGATGTGGTCGGCGTGGAAGAAGCACGTGTGGCCCCACCGCGCAGCCTCGTCCTGCTCGTTGACGCCCGCGCCCGTGCGCACCTCCAGCTGGGTGAAGCGGAACAGCTCAAAGTCAAACTCCCACACGGCGTCTGAGAGCTGCGTGTTGTGGCGGCCGCCGTAGAACATCCACTTGAGGTCCTCGGGGCTCGTGGGCATGTAGCACGCCAGCTGGAAGAAGATGTTGGGGTTGGACTCGCACGGCGACGTGGTCGTGTTGGCGCTGATGGGGCACAGGATGTCGTACTGGCCCGGGGGCGGCGGCACGTACGACTCGGCGTCCTGGGCGTTGGCGTCGAGGATCTGCCGGCGCGTCATGTTGGTTACCGTGGCAATGAAGCGGCCCTGGTCATCCAGCCGCACGCTGCCCACCTCAAACAGCCAGATGTCCTCCAGCACGTGCTCGCGTGCGTTCTCGTCCAGCCGCTTGCGCCCACCGAGCATGACAAACCGCGCCTGCTGTGAGTCACGCATCACCATCCCGTGCACACGCGCGGGCGGCAGACCATCGCTGCCATCCCCAGCGCTCTTGCTGCTGCCGCTGCTGGTGGTGGTGGCGTTGCGCGGGTTGATGGAGAACACGCCCTCACGCACACGCACGAGCGGGATTGCGTCAAGGTTGTCCAGGGGTTGGAAAAACTGGAAGGAGAAGAGCTCACTGGTGGGGACGCCGTCGCGCTGGCCGCCAAACGAGAAGCAGCGCACCTCCCGCTCGTGGCCCGGCGGTGGGCCAATGGTGGTCGTGGCGGTGCGGCACGTGTACGATGCGCCCGCCGTGCCGTTCCAGCTGTGCGAGTCCGACATGGGCTGCAGCTGTGTCCACAGGGCCTTGCGCTCGGGCGTGACGCGCAGGAACCAGAAATCGCTAAACGTCGCCGTTTCGAGGGCATCTGTTCCGCCAAAGACAACCAGGCCGTTGCCGACAATGGCGGCTGCGTGGTACATGCGGGGATCTGGCTGCTCGCGTTTGGGAACGGGTGGAAGATAGGTCCATTGTGCCTCTTCTGGGTTGAGGTTGAACAGCCATGCCTCGTTTGTGATGCGCCCGTCAGAGCCACCAAAAATGATCAGGTCCTGGGAGGGCAGGCGGTTGAAGGTGTGGCCGACCTTTGGCGTGGGCCGGTTGATGTTGGGCACGGGCACAAACAGCATGTCTGGGTCGTCGTCGTTCATAAACGTGGTGAACTCCCACACGGGGTTGTGCAGGCCCGTGCGCAGGCCCGAAAAATCTCCAAACAACATGCCTGTTGCGCGCTCCGTGATCAGCGATGCAAAGGCACCTGGGGTGTTGGGGATGGGGAAGGGGGAAGGGAAGACGGGGGAAGGGAAGAAGGAAGAGGGTAATTTGGGGAGAGAGGTTGGGGAGAGGGGAGGGGTGGGTGAGTGGTTGCGTTTGGGAGAAAAGAGACTGGAGAGGGGTTGCGCGCAACAGTCCACACAAAAACGCGCAAAACAACACGCCCTCTAGTGCAACGACAAGATCAACACGCAAGCACACACACACACACACAAAAGGACACACAACACAAAAGCACACACACACACACAAAAGCACACACGACACAAAAGCACACACACACACACGACACAAAAGCACACACACACACACACACGACACAAAAGCACACACACACACACACTAGCATAACACCAGACCGCAACAGACCTCTTGGGACGTTGAGGTGGGAAAAGTCGACGGGCCAGGCGGGTCGCTGCACATTCTCCGACGCAACGACGATGAAGCGCTCCTCCTCAGTATCCCACGCCAGAACAATCAGGGGCCCGTTGGTCTTGGGCAGGTTGGCCGAGCCAAGCATGTACACAAACTTGCCCAGGCCCGTCATGACGGTGTTGCCAATGTTGCTGAAGGAGAGCATGACGCTGTGTGCGTCGCACGACTGCACGAGCTCCCACTGCAGGGGAACGGTCTGGATGGTTTGCCAAGTCTGGCCTTCCCACCCGGCAATGTTGATGCGCCACAGGTCGCAGTGGTGCACGCCGCCCTCGCTCTCGCCGCCAAAGAACCAGATGAAACCGTTGTGGATGGTTGTTCCGGACACGCGCCTTCCCGATGGGGCAAGTCCGCCGCCGGCAGTGGGCGCAATGGGCACGTGCTTGAAGATGTCGCCTGCAAGCTCCGGTGGCCGCGGCACACCGGCCCAGTCGTACACCACCGCGCGCACGTTGAAGAGGGTGAAGTTGTTGCCTGTGTTGAAGCGGACACAGCGGTCGCGCAGGGACGTCTCGGCCTGGAACACGCGGTGCGCGCACCCGCCTGCACATGGCGCACGTGTATGTGTGCGTGTGTGCGCGCGCGTGTGCGTGTGTGACAGTGTGTGTGGGATGGTGTGAGTACGTGTGTGTGGCAAGAAGAAAATCAACACTGCAAACAGAAAGTGATGTTGCTATACACACACACACAGCGAAGCACAGCACACAGAGCACATACACACAGCAACAGAAACACACGTCTGAGACTCACCGTACATGGCGACCACGTCCAGGAGAGGCCCGTTCCCATCCGTCTGTGAATACTGCACGGTGGCGGGAAAGAAGGCTGCGTCGACGGTGGGCGTGTACCTGCTGGTGACGTCGTACCACTTGCAGTCGTGGTACACCCACACCTCCATGCGGGCGTTTGGCCCGCTGGTGCGACGGCGGGTGAGCACAACCGTGGATGTGTCGTTGACAAAGTACGTGACGTGATGCAGCGTGCCGCCGATGGCCCTGGGCCCGTCTTGGCACTTCTTCCACGTGGGCGGGCGCGTGCGATCCAGCTCCCACGTCTCTGGCGTTAGCTCGCGCTTGAAGCGAGAGTCGCCGCCATGCAGCATCACGGATCGGGAGTACGTCACATTGTCAATCTCAATGTACAGGCGCGCAGACGCCACATCAACAAGCCTCTTGTCTGTCTTCGTCAGCACCTGCACCGCGTTCCAGTAGTATGCGATGTCTGGTTCGTTTCCGCTGATGGGGAAGCTGAACAAGGTGTTGTTTTCCTGGGTGTGCGAAGCGTGGGCGGGGCCAACGGCAACCGTGGCCAGTACCAATGCCACCGCGGCCACGGCAAGCCCCACGCAACGCAGCATGAGGCGGATTGGTTGGCAGGTGGGGGGAAGGGAGGGAGCTGTGGGCGGCTGTCCGTCCACAAAAGGACTGCAAAACGTGTACGCTGGAGGCGTTGCCTGGCGTGCACAACACACACACACCAACACTGGCGGTGGCAACAAAGCAAAACAAACAAATTGCGACTTGCGGAGTGTGATTTTGTGTGTGTGTGTGTTTGGGTTGTTTGGGTTGTTTGTGTGTGTGTGTTTGGTCCACGAGCACAAACACAAGCAAACACATCAACCAACCAAACAAACAAAAAGAAGGAGTCCGCAGCAAGCACGAGTGTGGGTGTGTCGGACAGCAGTTGTTGCACACATACACACACACAAGACAACTCCTCCACGCGAATGTCTGCGCTCGACTGTGCGTGTGGGAAATGTGGTGTTGGAGAGCTTCCGGAAATATCACGAATGATATCGAATAATCATCTGGCCGCCAAACTGCTGCGGACAACTGCAAGTGAGCAAGCAACAAGGCAGAGGAAGGCAAGAAGCGAAAGCGCCAAACACACCACAACACAACACAACGCCTGTTGTGTCTGTGTGCTCGGGGCGCACAAAGACTCGACGAGGCTCAGCCCAGTGCTGCTGGTATGCGCTGCCGCTCCGTGACATGTCTTGTTGTGCTGTAGTTCGTTGCATTTTCCCTCTTGTCGATGAATTGGTGACTGGAGCTGCTTGTTTGAATCGTGCTTGAAGGTCGACAGGGAGAGAGAACCAGTGCACGCTGCTCTTCTTCAGCTTGCGTGCACGCATGCACGCTGCTCGTCACTGGCGTTTGTAGAATCTTCTCACTGGCATCTGCACACGCCACCCACAACCACTGCGCATCACCAACCAAAACGACAAACGCCATCTTGTGTCACGCACACGCACACGCATACATACTCGCGCAGACACCAAAGGTACAATGGAGGGCGCAGATCAGCTTGCGGCTGAAGACAGCGACAGTGCCGCCATGGCCACGCATGATGAACCCGCCACACGAGCAAATGGCAACAACAGCAACAAGCACAGCAGCAGCGACTCTGATGACACAGCGCCCAGCACAGCCAGTGCATCCAAGGGCGTGTCGACCGACAATGGCGCCACGCACGGCGGGAAGGGGATGCAGAACAAGCAGAGCAGCAGCCAGCTGGCGGCGCAGCCGATGCGTGCGTCTCTCCGCAGTCGCCGCTCGCAGCCGCTCCAGTTGACAGAGATCCCCGAAAACTCGCCACCCATACAGGAGGACGTGGTCATCAGCAGCAGCAGCGACGACGACGATGACGATGACGAGGAGGAGGAGGATGACGGTAACGACGGTGACAGCTTGAGCGGCGGTGGTCCAAAGGCAAAGAGGAGCAAAGTTGACGACAACCGCGCGTCCAGACCCAAATCACATCGCAGTCGTCACCACGTGCACCGCGCACACAACAACAGCAGCAGCGACGGCGACGACGAGTCTGCGGATGAAAATGCCTCCCAAGCTGCACGCGACAACAGCTCCGACGACCACGTCGACGATGATGACAGTGATGGGGACGACACTGAGCTGATGGTGTCCCCGTTTGACCCAGCACAGGCAACACCGAGGAACAAACAGAAGGACACGTCTGCACCATTCACTGCGCAAACAGACAGCCCACCTCGCTCGGCAGTCCGTCGACCAGATGACGACGACGACGAGGAGGACGATGACGACGACGAGGACAATGGTGATGCAAGTGACGCGAGTGGCGGCAAAGACAAAACAGACGAAAGCAGGGGTGGGTCCGCTCGTGCGCGTGATGTGCGTCGCAGTGACAGTACCGACAGCGTTGATCTTGTGCCGGTGAGCCCACAGCGTCGCGTGTCGTCTTCGCAGCAGCAGCAGCAACAGCAGCAGCAACAGCAGCAACAGCAGCAAGACAGAGGGCTCGCGGTGAAACGAACGGCAAAGAAGACAGCTTTACCAGCACGCACAGCCCTGCCAAGCAGCGACAGCGACCAAGACAACGGCGGTGCTGGTGGTAAGGATGTTGATGATGAGGAAGAAGGGCACAACCAAGAAGAGGAAGAGGAGGAGGAGGAGGAGCAGCAGCAGCAGGAGCAGGAAGAGCCAGAGGAGAAGGACGACACCGATGACGATGAGGTTGAGACAGAGACGGAAGGGAGTGGAGAGGCGGCATCGTCGTTACGTCAAGGCGGGGAGCAGCCGGCCAAGCGGGCCAAGGTGGTGACGCAGACCAGGCCTGACGACACCGACTTTGCCGATGGTGATCAGGACGGCGAGGCGGATCAGGAAGAGGAGGAAGAGGAGGAGGAAGAGGAAGAAACACAAGGGAAGAGAGAGGCTGCTGCCAGTGACCAGGCCGGCGATGATGATGATGATGATGATGATGATGATGATGATGATGATGATGATGATGATGATGATGATGATGATGATGATGATGATGATGATGATGATGGTGATGGTGATGGTGATGGTGATGGTGATGGTGATGGTGATGATGACGATGATTCGGAGTCTGAAACACAGGGCGAACCGCAGAACAGTGCGCGCCCGGCCACGAAGACCGCCACTCGTGGTCGAGGTGGCAGCGAGGAGGAGGAGAAAGAAGCGGAAAAGGAAGCAGAGCAGCAGCAAGCGAAAGTGGACGCTGGGGACGATGATTACCATGAAGAGGAAGAGGAGGAAGAGGAGGAAGAGGAGGAAGAGGAAGAGGGAAGGCGACGATCCTCACGGCTGCGGCGCGCGAAGAAGCCATTACGCACACGCAAGTACATGAGCGAGGATGATGATGATGATGATGGTGACGATGATGCAGTGGTGGCACCAGCCGAGGCAGCGAAGAAACGGCACATGGCCAAAGGCCCTGCCAGTGGTGCTGTAGATGATACTGCCAACAGCGATGATGACGAGGACGAAGAAAGCTCATCCTATGACGAAGATGATGATGATGATGATGATGATGATGATGATGACGATGATGATGATGATACTGATGAGCGAGTGGCAGCACGGTCGAGGGTCGGCCCGCAACCACCACGCCGCGGTCGCACGACCAGCGCCCAGGATTCGCCAACCACGAGCCACGAGGACTACTGCATCGTGTGTCAGCAGTCTGGGGAGCTGCTATGCTGCGACGGGTGCCCGCGCGTGTACCATCTCGACTGCGTGACTCCGCGGCTCGCGGAGGTGCCGGAAGGGGACTGGTTTTGCCCTGCGTGCGCGCGCAACGACCCGTGCACTATCTGCGGCAAGCCGCTGCCGTGGAAGCCAATGTCTCAACGACGGTGAGCTGTGCCAGTGGTTTTGTTGAATTGTGGTTTATTTGTTGGATGGCTTTGGTTGTGTTGTGTTGTGTTGTGTTAGTTTGTTTTGGTTTGTGTCGGTGAGTGTGACGATGGGCGAGTGCGTGCGTGCGCCTGTGTACCCGTTTCACACAGCATGACCTGACCACCCACCGTCCCCATCCACCATCTTCACTGTGAGCAGGGTGTGCGTGCAGTGCGGCGTGCCAATGCACCCAGCATGCTTCAAGGCCACCGGCGCACCCAAGGTTGGATTGTGAGGGCGAGCGATCATGGTGGTGGTGTTTGTGCTGGTTTCCTGTCGTGGTTGCACCAAAACAAGTTGTCATTGCGCGCGCACGCACACACACACACAACGCACACAAGCGTATGCACACGACTGTTTCCCCTGTGCCCCTGCATCCACTCCGTATACCCATCATCATCATCATCATCATCATCATCATCATCATCATCATCATCATCATCATCATCATCATCATCATCATCATCATCATCATCATCATCATCATCATCATCATCATCATCATCGTCACCACCACCACCACCACAGGAGTTCCCTGCGGAGCAGCTGCAGCGGCGGTGTCCGGATTGCTGCCGCTTCCAACGCCCGCACGTGCTCGAAGCGCACTCCCTCCAGGAAATTGTCGGCCATCGGTTTGTCGGACCGAAAGTCCGCTGCCCGCCATCCCCGCGCAAGCACCGGGTGACACAGGCGGCGGTGGCGGTGGCGGTGCGCAGCGGCTCTGGTAGTGCCAGCGGTGAGGGAGAGGCGACAACGAAGCAAAGTGGTGGTGGCAGTGGCAGTGGCAACGACCAAGGTGAAGACGGTGGTGAGAATGGTACAGGGACCATGGCAGGTGCGGCAACGCAAGGTGGTGAAGCATCAGCTGCCCACACGCACGCGAACGGTAAACGCCACTCGCGCAGTGACGGCGACAGCATCATCAGCGATGATCCGACACCAGTCGGTACGGACAGAGTTTTGCTTGCCCGCATTTGCTTGGTTTCTTGCTCATTTTGTTGCGTGTGAATGTGTGAGCGACCGTGTATGCACGAGCATGTGTGTGTGTGCTTGTGTGTGTGTGTGTGCTTGTGTGTGCTTGTGTGTGGGAGTGAGTTTGCTGTTGTTCACAGACACCTGAAGGTTAACTCATTTTCGATTTCGCGTGTGCTCGCGCGTGCTCGTGTTTGTGTGCAGCTGTGACGTCATCGGTCTTCAAGGGCGATTGGGAGCTCCTCTGCAAGTGGGAGCAGCTGTCGCACCTGTGAGTCCCACCTATGAAGTGCGATCGAGTGTAATGCCATGCGCACTGCGCTTGTGTACATGTGTGCATGGACACGCATGCATGCAACCGTGTGCTCTATTCTGTGGTTGTTTGAATGGTGGTGCGATTGCACGCCAGGAAAAAAAAAAGAAAAGAAAACTCGAACTGACCCTGCGCTTCGTCTTGATTGCGTTGTTTTTGTTTCTTTGGCTGTAGCCACGACTCCTGGGCACCTCTCAAGTGGCTCATGACGCAATTCCCACAGAAGACAAAAAACTACGTGGTACGCGACTGTACCCATGTGTGCATATGTTTGCATGTGTGTGTGTGTGTGCGTGTGCGTGCGTGTGAGCGCATGTTTCTTTGTTTCTTGTTTTGACACGGCACCGACACGTTACCATCGCTCAGTCTCCGTCACGCGTACGTGTGCCGTATCTGCCTTGTGCCTGTTGTGTGTTTGCGTGCGTGTGATTGCATTAGGCGCGTCACGGTCTGGACACAGATCATCCAGAAATGTTCGATCCGCCGAAGAACACAGCAAAGGCCTGGGTGAGCGCGCCCTGCACTTGCCCGATTTGCTTTGTTTCTTTGTGTGTTTGTGTTTGTGTGTATGTGTGTGTCTGTTTGTATGTGTGTGTCTGTGTGTATGTGCGTGTCTCCCTCTGTTTGTGTCTCCCTGTGTGTGTCTGTGACCCTGTTGTGTTGCCGTCGTTCATCACGTCACATCACATCACATCCCCTTCACCTTCTCCTGTACCGTCGCCATCACAATCGTCAGATCCCGCCATCATACACCGCCCTGGAACGGCTCATCTCCTTCCGCCACGTATGTTCAGCCAA